AAAAATAGTTGTGCTTTTAAACTAACCTGTAAGACTTGTTTACATCTATGTGTGCCATCGTGTCAAGTGTTAGAATGAAGTCAGTGGTAAATTAAGGGATAGGAAAAAAAAAGGCGAATCACCATTTGCTAAAAATTCCTTCTGAAGTGTTTGTGATGTCTTTGCTGTTGAGGATGCTTATTTGTAATTTTCCAGAATTAGATCTGAACCCATCCAGAATGGGCTTTAAGTGGGAAGAAATATCTAGCATTATTTTGGGAGGAACAAAGATTTGTCAGTATGCAGGTCAGCACTCTGAAGGAGAAGGTTTATTTCACTTTTTTAGGAGAATTTTGTCATGGGTAAAACCAGTGTGTGGATAGTGTGCTACTCACCTTAATGAGGAAACTGGCAGAAGAGCTCGCCAAGACACACTTCACTGTTTATCAACAGTCCTGGCTCACTGGAGAGGTCCTAGATAACTGGAAGCTGGCCATTGTGATGCCCATCCACAAGAAAGGGCCAGAATGAGGATCTGGGAAACTACAGGCTTGTCAGCCTGACCTCAATGCCCAGCAAGGTTATGGAACAGATCATCTTCAGTGTGATCACACGGCACCTACAGGATGGCCCAGGGATCAGACCCATGGATTTAGAGGGGCAGGTCCTGCCTGACCAACCTGATCTCCTTTCATGACCAGGTGATCCATCTGGTGGATAAGGGGAAGGCTGTGGATGTGGTCTACCTGGACTTCAGCAAAACTTTTGACACCGTCTCCCATAGCAGACTCCTGAAAAAGCTGACAGCCCACAGCTTGGACAGGGGCACTCTGTGCTGGGTTAGGAACTGGCTGGAGGGCCAGGCCCAGAGAGTGGTGGTGAGCGGTGCTGCATCCAGTTGGCGACCGATCACTAGTGGTGTCCCCCAGGGATCAGTGTAGGGCCCAGTTCTGTTTAATATCTTTACTGATGATCTGGATGAGGGAATCGAGTCTACCATTACCAAATTTGCAGGTGACACCAAGTCAGGGGGGACTGTTGATCTCCTGGAGGGTAGGAGAGCTCTGTAGAGGGACCTGGACAGGCTGGATAGATGGGCCGAATCCAATGGGATGAAGTCTAACAAGACCAAGTGCCAGGTCCTGCACTTTGGGCACAACAACCCCCTGCAGCGCTACAGGCTGGGCACAGAGTAGCTGGAGAGCAGCCAGGCAGGAAGGGATCTGGGAGTTTGGATTGACAGGAAGCTGGACATGAGCCAGCAGTGTGCCCAGGTGACCAAGAAGGCCAATGGCATCCTGGCCTGGATCAGGAACAGTGTGGCCAGCAGGACCAAGGAAGTCATTCTGCCCCTGCACTTGGCCATACAAGTGATGAGGCTGCACCTCGAGTCCTGTGTCCAGTTCTGGGCCCCTCAATTTAGGAAGGATGTTGAGGTGCTGGAGCATGTCCAGAGAAGGGCAACAAGGCTGGTGAAGGGACTCGAGCACGAGTCCTATGAGGAGAGGCTGAGGGCGCTGGGGTTGTTTAGCCTGGAGAAGAGGAGGCTCAGGGGAGACCTCATCAGTCTCTACAACTGCCTGAAAGGAGGTTGTAGCCAAGTTGGTATCAGTCTCTTCTCCCAAGCAACCAGCAGTAGGACAAGAGGGCATGGTCTTAAGCTGTGCCAGGGGAGGTTTAGGTTAGACATTTGGAAGAAGTTCTTCACAGAAAGGGTGATTGGGCATCGGAATGGGCTGCCCAGGGAGATGGTGGAGTCACTGTCCATGAAGGTGTTTAAGAAGAGACTGGACGTGGCACTTAGTGCCACGGTCTAGTTGACAAGGTGGTGTCAGATCATAGGTTAGACTTGATGATCTCAGAGGTCTTTTCCAACCTAGTTGATTCTGTGATTCTTGATTAATTTTTTTTTTCCCCACATATTTGAATTTAGGCAAAGCAATACTGCACATCATTTATAAAATTCTCATAATGTCTCCATAGTGTGCTATAGGGAACAATACGAAATTGATGGCAACACAAGATGATGGCAAGAAGATTCAGAGGCTAAGATATAGCTTTCTGTATTCTTCAGGCCCATAACATGGGCTTTAGCTTTGTTTTATTTGTATGGGGGTTTGAGGTTGGTTTTATAGGTACCATTGGTCCCTCAAACCTTTTAGTGAGATTGATAGCTGTTTGTGCATTTATTCTACAATCTCTTTAAAATGTGTATGAGATTTTTGTGGAAGTTTTGCATATATCATAATTTATTCTATTGTCCTAGTCTTTTCACTTCTTAAAATAACTGCTATTATGTCATATTTTGGAGGGCTGAATTGTTTTCTGCTTTTTTCCCCTGTTGCATGAAGATTAAGTGAACTATCTTAGTTTCGGGTCAGATAGTATTTCATCAGGACAGTGAAATGACTGCAAGCATTCATCCCCTGTGGATGAAATCCCCATCTGCAGCATTTCTGTCTCCCACATTGAAAAGACAATTACTTAGATCCTTGTAGATGGGCTTTAAAACTGGGCGTAATCCAGTGGAGAATGAAATGCAGAACCATACAAATCAGTGACATTTAGCCTAACCACACGTCAGTCCAGGTGGCAAGATAAATTGGTACTCAGCTGTTTCCAGCCCATTTTCCTGGTTAGCACTCCTAATACAAGAAACAGTTTTGGCACCTCCAGTGTGATTTTTGTGCATGTGCACACAGTTGTGGAAACACACTTTATTCTGTATTCAAATTTTCTGGTTCAGGTAAACTTCTAAAGAAGTTGAATTTCATTTCACACTCCTCTTAAAAACAGTTGTACTTTCTGGAAAGAGAGCACCTTTCCCTTTGCCTTTCATCCTTTCTCCTCTCATTTGTGTGAAGAAATTGTATCACTCAGTTGTGACATTTCACTAGCGGATGCTACACCCATTTTAACTGAAAGCATATTTTTATGAAATAAAACCTAGATATATTTACTTGTCAACATCTCTGTAACTTCCATAAAGAGGACTGAATGATAAAAATAGTAAAATATGTGAAGTATTTAGATGTTTCTGAAATCTATGCTTCAAAAAAGAGCAAGAGCCAGCAATCCCTTGTGCCAACCTCTTTTATCTCTTGCAAAGCCTTTTCTCATTTATTGTAATGCTTAACAACTCCATTTCACAGTGTGCTTTAGATTCCTAACAACAGCAAAAAAAAAAAATTACTTAAGAAAAAACAACTTGCAAATCCAAGACCAGGCTTCTGTTTCTGTATGGTTCTAAATTAAGCCTTACCATTTCTTTACTAATGAAAATCTTTTCCATGTGGAATAAACTCTTAGTTCTTAGCACCATTAGTAATGCTTAAAAAAAAAGTATTTAAAATGGTTCAGTTGCCAACTGCCTTTGACTGTCTCAATAAGACATTGAAACAGACCTTCTGCTCTAAATTAATAAGGCCAATCACAGCTACCCAAAGCCCAGAATGACAGATCATTCTTCTGCTGTTATCGCTATCTTTACTGAGGTCAGATAAATCACTTTCAAGCTGTTAAATCAATGATCGTAAATTAGGGCTCTGTTTTTACAGCACCTTGTGGGAAATTCTCATGGTTAAATTAATCTAACAGCTGCAGTGAAGAGCACTTCCCACAAGATCATGTCAAAAGTTCTCCCCCTACACACCACGTTTCTTTTTTTTTAAGGGAAAAAAAGGACTGAATTATTTGTTTTTACCTAGCACACAAAATGGAATCCCTCCGTCTATCCCTGCTAATTCATGTTTCAATTGTACCCAGCTGTTTAAATTGCACTGTGCAGAGATTGCCTTGATCCCCAGGTGCTGGTACTCCATCTGTGCTGCTCTGAGAGACTATTTACAGCCGAGGTTAGGCCAGTGATTGCTGGGATGGAAAACTCATTTCTCAGCCTGGCTTTTATTTACACTCTTATTAAAGATCCTTTCACTCATGTTGGAATGGCAGCTAGTGGCTGCAGTAACCGTTTGGCATTGAGCCAAGCAGCAAAATTACCATGTCGATGAAAGATAGCCTGCTTCCATTTTAACCTTTCACTGTTCCCCCTTTCCATCTATATTTGCATGAAGAAGGATGATTATTGAAAGAGATAGGGAGACAAAGGGATGAGAGAATCCTTGTCAACTGAGCTTTTCAAGGGATAAACCAATGGTTTGTGATCAATTTTGAGAAATCTTTACTGCCTTGCTAATTTCCTACTCCTTTCCCTTAATTGCTATTAGACTTTATTTTTACAGAGCTCATGCTCTGCTCACATCCTTCCCCCACTGCTACCCTGTGCCTTGTGAACACAACTCTGGATACGTCTGCGATGTTGAGGTTTCTACTTCATCCCCAATGCAGGTCACACAGAGCCATAGCAACACCCTCAAAGCATTTTTCTCCTACAAATATGCCTCTGAGAAATGAATCATTTTCTTGGGACCAAGCAGCTCGTTGCACACAGCATGTTATGTTACTGGAGAGGGCAAGGGAGAGTATGACCAGTGGGTGGGGGAGGCTGGCATGCAGTCATCACACTATGGCCCTAGATACATTTAAAAAATAAATATTTCTCCAGAGACCTCAGAACGTTTTTTTTTAAGAACACAGGACTGGTGACAAGGAAATCCACCTCAGATGTTAGGAGACAACAACCAACATTGTTAAGTGCCAACTATAGCCCAGCACAACAAGCAGGAGACCTCAAACCCTCAAGCCTCTCTATCAAGCCTTCTTTGTGAGGCAGCCCATGACTGGAAGTGCAACAGCTATGGTGGTTCTTGACTGCTAGCAAAGCCACACTTTTCTATCTTCTTCTGCTTCCAGAGCAGGAGAGATGAGTCTATTTCCATTTTTCCTTAGTGTAGGAGCACTGACTCTACTGAGAGGTTTACAAGGGTTGGTGTTCTTGCTTCTGAGCCTTGGTTTTGGTAGTGGGCAAATAGAAGCATTCATCCCCTACCCCAACAAAACAAGAGGCTATTTTCTGAGGGATTTAACTCTTTACGTAGATGTTTATGTCATCTGTTGTTTAGGCACTGCTTAACCTTGCAGGTCCCCAAGAAATGTAGGCTCCACTCATCACCAGGAGGCTGCTGGTGATCAGGGACAGGTAACTTCACTGGTCTGACAGCCACAGGCTGGTGCATTCCCAGGAGTGGCAGATATATGTGGCTTTTCAATACAAAAGTAGCTGTTGAATCCTCCAAAGAATGACCAAAATTGAGTTATTCTCAGTTCGATTTTTAAAACTTGATTTTGTCTCCATTGAGTATGAGACACCTTGAGAAAGGATTGCCTTGCTATTTCTTCCTCACTAGTCCTCCTAAAAGGTAGAGGGTTTGTTAACAAAAGCATAAACATATATATTTAGCTGTATTCTGAGTGACTGACAGTTAAAAGAGGTGTATCTACAGAATATTGCTTGCTTTCAGCTCCTGGAACAGGCACCAACAGATCACATCTTCCAACATGTTACTTGCTGCTCAAAGTTATTTTTTCCTATATACATACATAACATATATATATATACACACATATATAAAATATATAATTATTATAAATTCAATTTCAATATTGTACAAAAGCTTATTTAATAGAACTCAGTCTGTGCCATATAGCTAACCTCAGGACTCCAGGTTAGTTGGGTGTTGTTTTTCCCATTTTCTGATTGACTGAGTATCTGAGTCCCATGCTACCTGCTTTCCTAATGAAGCCAGCACCAGGGAAATCTTGCAGGAGTGGTAGCAGAAAAGAATGACTGAGAAATTTTACATAAGAGTAAATATTTTTCTTTCTTTTCTCTCTTTCCTTTTTTTATTGGCACTAAACAGACCTTCCCTAAAACACCCTTCTTAGAAAAATGTTACCACAGAAAGATTTACTGTCTGAGCATTGTGTTTTATATTTTTCCTATTCATAGAATACTTATATGTCTGGACATGAAACTTAGTTTGAAGCTTGTGTTTTGATTCTTGTCTGGCTCATTTAAACTGCTTCTATGCTGGTGCTCAAGCAAAGAAGGAGTAAGAATGATGTTCCAACTCTTCTAACATATTCTAAATTCCCAGATGTAAAATTCAATTGCATGAGGACTGGTGAAAAACAAGCATTAAGAGAGGCCACAAAGACCAGCTCTTCTAACATATTCTAAATTCCCAAATGTAAAATTCAATTGCATGAGGGCTGGTGAAAAACAAGCACTAAGAGAGGGCACAAAGACCAGCAAAGTAAATTTATTTTTTTAATTGGGAGCACAGTGAACACAATCCTCAGAAAATGCAGCATAAGAACTTTGTATTAGGAGCTTGTTCATGGAGTACCTTGATCTCAGCTAGAGGAGTTGCTGTTGACATTTGGCTGACAAAGCTCTAGGGAAAGCTGGCGGATGCTAAGAAATAAGACATTTGGTGCAATTAGCTGTGGTACCAACCCAGGAATGAAAGTAAACAGGCACAACGTGGGGATGAGAGGATTCTTCAGAATCAAGGCCTAAACTGCTTGCGGCTGCAGCAATTCCCTGCTCTTTGTGCATTCTTTGGCAATTACCTGTTTAAATAACTGGTTTGCCTGCTTTTAGATCCTGGAGAACTGCAACTTGATTTGGCTTCTTGTCTCCCCTTCCTCATCCCAGTATGTGAGGTGATACTGCACCCTACCCTGAAGCAGCTGTCTCAGCCCACATCTGCTGCAGAGGGCTGTGCATTTAAAAATTAAACTGATATACATTTATGAGACCTGGATGGGCAGAGTCAGTCTAAATTCTGAACAGACTGAAATGACTGCAGGGCTGTCAGCTGCTTTTACATCCCTGAGCTTTATTGAATATATACTGGGCAGAGAAATGGTCTTTGTTTAGGAACAATTTGTGCTAGTCGATGAGGTGACTGCCTAGTCATTTGTCTTCTCCAGTAACTCTCATGGGAAAACAGTATCTTTTCTCGTAATTTTAGTCATGGATATCTTGCAGAATTTCCATATTCTTAAATCTTACCTTCCTAAAGCAAAAATAGCAAAATTTCATGTTTCTTTGCTTAGTTCCTGAAAAGTTGTAGCAATTACAGAAATAAGCAATAACTATCATATGAGAAGCTAAATGTTGTATCTGAGCTTGTGTCATAACCTTTGGATCTTCCAGACAGCTCTTAATTTGCCAAGGAAAAGTTCCTTGCAAAATTTTCCCAGATAATAACTGAGCCAAAGAACTGGGGTAACAATGGCTCAGAAAGTTGAACCTTCTAAGACCAACTTAAAAACCCCTTTCAAATAGGGGAATTAAAATATTACATGCATGTAAGTTTTAATTTGGAGGTAATGAGCAATGTTAGGTTAAAGAAGACACCCTTTCCCTTTCTATGAGTCTTCCCTTTAGCTACTAGTAATTCCTGCACTGCTGGTGATGCTGGCGGTGTCAGCACCCATAGGAAGCAAGTGGTGAGAGGAGGTGGATGGCCAAGGACTCAGTGGCACATCTCAAACAGCAGTTAACGACTCCAAAATGTTTTAAATCAGAGAGGGGCAGAGTAAGGAGAGGAAAGGAAGGAAAAACACCACCAATAGCATAAATGAACCAGGAAGATACTCTGTTGGAGTACAGTCTGTTGGGAAAGGCCTCAAATTACCACAAGCAGAACACCCAACCAACAGACTGGTAACTCCAGGGATGACTGTGAAGCACAGAGACAATGCCAAACCAGTACAGCTGGTTGTCTTGACAGAGGAATGCCATACGGGATTGATTTTTAGTGCTTAAAGGAATAAATGCTTGGGGAGTAAAGATGAGGGACATTTTGACTCCTTAGAAGCCAAGACATGATGCACTAAAACACCAAAGAAAAAGAATGGAATTCTAATCTTAGGCAGCCTCAAATTCATGAAGGTTCAGAGATCTCGTCTGTCTACACATCTAAATAATCAGTCTTAAATTAACTGCATTAAAAATTTAATTACTTTTTTCTACTGCAGCTACCTCCCTCTCCCCTTAGTATTTTGTGGTAGAGTGCTGTGGACTATTTCTGCAGCTTCAAATTTATGACTAATTGTTGTTAAATTATGAAGAATCTCCAAATCATGTGTCTTTTATCTACCTGTGGATACATTTTGTGTATCTTGATCAAACTCCTTTTCAATAACCTCACCCTCAAAGCACAACTTCCCCCGAAATCATTCTATGTCCTCAAAAAGGTTATGGCATCCTTTATTTTGCAAAGTGGAGGATTAAAAAAAAGCCTTCATCCTTCCTCTTAACAAGAACAGGATGTGCAAAAAGTTTGCTTTATATAAGCCCTCCTGGAAAGCACAAGAGAAACTCTGAAATCCGTAAAAGCCGCAGTGTAATAGCATAAAGAATTCAACTTTTTATGAAGGTACATCTCTCTACCAGGATACGTTAAGAAGACAAAATTTCAGACCTTGGTTTTACAGAAACTGTACAAAATACAATAAACTACTTGGATTTTTCCCTTATGTCAATTAGTACATTTGGTAGGATACTATGAATGTATTATTTGGCAAAAGACTGATTTATTGCCTACACGAATTAAAGAAACTGATGTCCAAATCTGAAGAATTGCATTGATTACCTAAAAAAAATTAAAATGACAAGCCTTACTTGACGTACAAGCTTACAGAATTTAGGGCATAGGAAATGCAAAAGCAAGAGGGTGTTGTGGAGCAGGGTCCTTTAGGTTCAGTTGATGTGCAACAGTTCCCTGTCACTTCATGCTATCAACACTTATTATTCAGCTGACACCAGCAAGCCAGGTAAAGCTGTGCTGAAGTTTTATTTGCACAGCAATTTTAAGCTTGACACTGTGGTCGGATTGCAGTAATAGACTGTAGGACTTAACAGGAGAGTGAGAAGAACCAGAGTTAAAGTAACACATTGCTTCTCTCTGCACTCTCCATTATGCTTAGTGAATACAATGGACATGTGCAGCACTTTAAAAACTGGAGTAGTGCTGGAACAGATGTTCTCACTGCTCTCCTACTTAGTGTGAGGTGAAATAAGAAGCAGGAGAATTGCTTGTGCTATAATGCAATATTTCAAAATATAACAAGTAGATACCTGTCCAGCTCTCATTCTCTTGCTGGCAACCCAGGTGGGCATTGTCCATGGCTGTGCTGGTACAGTGCAAGGTTGGTGTTATTTCCTGCATCTTCAGTGCCTTCAAAAGCATCTTTGGTTACTAAATAACCTTGAACGCTTGCTTCACTGGAATCTATGAATTCATCCTTGGGTTTGCTTGAACATAAACTCAGAACAGAATTTAAGGCAGTGATTCCTAAGGAACTGGGGATGAGGGAAAACTTACTCTAACTCTGTTATCATTTCCAAAATTACACCCAATGCCTCAGAGAGCTGGTAGCTGATCACTTTGCACAGCTCTTCACTGAGTCAGAACATGGTAACTGCCAGTCTGAGCAATGAATCATAATCCAATGGCAGCACACAGCTATGCTACAGCTGAACTCTTTCCAATCAACCCATAGGCTAATGCACCTCACAGGAATTTACTTCATTAACTGAAGAGTGAGACCTTTTGTCAGTGAATCACCCATTCCCTTGCAAAGCAGAGTGTGCTACTTGCCCATATTGCACAATTGGTAATACACATAAAGAGACTTAGGAAATCTTCATGACAAAGGCAAATAATAATGATTATAGATCTAGATGGATATATATAATATATAATTTAAAATTTTATTTTAAAACTTTGCACATACACTTCTTCAGTATCCTCCTCTTTTGTTCATTGCACTGAAAAGTTTCAAAAAACACAAAATATATCCCTTTACTAAACATTTTTTGTTCTTAGGTTACAAAAAGATGAACATTTCACAGTCACAAAGCAGAAGTACATTGGTCCAAAACATCTTCCTGCAGCAGGTCCTCCTTTCCTCAGGACATATAAATCCCAGACAGTTGTACAGATCTTAAGATATTAAGATGAATTGTCCAATGAAGGAAAGAAAAATGTGGCAGCTACTAGAAAGAAATAAAATCAAAATAAGACACCTATGAAAGAACACCAACAGTAATGATTAAAAAAAAAAGCAAAATGAGCATGGAGGTGGACAAGGGCATCCTCCTTCAAGTACATCACAGGTAGAAATACAGCAGCACAGTTACAGCATCATTTGGTCGCTCTCTCTGTAGTAGCCACATCACTGAATCTTCATCTAAGATACATGGAAGAAAACTATTTACACACCTAAAATGTTGGGGACAAACAACAATTCCACACAGTTTGCCATTCATGTTTGATACAAAACTGTTGAAAGTATTTGGACATAAAACATAAAACAAAAGCAAAACGCTGAGGCTGGAAGAAATACAGCAGATTTGCTCAGAGCATGTAGTGTTCTTTAAAAACTTAGCAGAAGCTCAGAGCCAAAATTTGCCCAAACATCCTGGAGGCACAGAGTCAACAGTACCTCACAGACCTCTCATCATATTTTAACATGGAAATAACTAAATGGAAATCCACTGATAACAGCAGACTCTGACCACTCTTCCTTTAGCTTGTTAGCCCTGTTGTTTTTTAGAATTTTTTAACAAAATTCTCTCTTTCCATCATGAGGCCACTGAACATCTCAGACAATACACTTTTGTGTTCATGAAGGAAGCATTATTGCCTTAACATACCAAAGGATGGTTGTGTGCCTCACATAATAAAGTCTAAATAAAATTTCTAACCACCTTCTTCAATAAATTAAACAAACAAAATTTTAGGCTGTAGTGCAAGAGGAAAGTGTCTGAATTGTCTGTACTATCTTCTTCAACAGTATTCATAGGAGAATGGTAGAAGCTTCTTGGTTTTGAGCTTCTAGAAGTGGGACCACAAAACACTGTTACACTGCACCATCAGCTAACCGGAACTCTATTATTAGCGCCTTTCCTTGCCATTATCCAAGGAAGGATAAGAACTTGCTCAACTTTCCAAGCAATGCCTATGCACAGGCAAGGCTCAGCACTGTGCAACAGAATACGAATGCAGATGTAACTCAGGACTGAGCTTCCTTGCTGCTAAGGCTTACACAGTTTTGGATACCAAGGGAACTCGTCTGGCAAAACCCAGCACTGGTTTAGTTCAGGCAGTAACTAAAATGACATGCCAAGGATCTAAAATTTGGACTTGATGCCTAACTTGCTCCAGTCTGAGGACGTGAGCTGTCTGCTCCTAACTCGTGAGCTTCACTGAGCCCTGGAGCACCTACAAGTCTGAATGTGGCACCCATCTTCACCTATCTGAAAAATAGTATTTTGCACCACAGATCCTCCCTGCCATCAGTGGTTTCTAATGCTGTGATTCACAAAATAATTCAGCCTATAAAGGGAATTGGAAATGCTTTTAATTATTCTTGCTTCTTGCACAATACCTCCGCAATAAATAACTCCCGCCTGCTATTTCTGTGAGGCTGGGGTGTGTATATGTATTTATACCATGCCTTGAAGCAGAGCACTGACCCCAGTGCAGGGGATGTAAGAAGCTCCTACAGAAAGCAGATAGAAGTGAAAGCCCGAGTACTAATGCAGCAGGTCAGAGATGCACCAGACACTCTGGGGAGAAAAGCACCTAAATGTGTAAAAGATACTTTGTAAAAAAGCAAAACAAAAAGCATCACAGCATAGTTTCAGTCACATACTGAAACCTTTTATTAAAGTTCTCAGAATTCATTAATTGATGTTAATTGATACTAATTGTTAATACTGTACTTCTGCCCTTTCCAGGAGAGAGGCTGACAGTGAGAACACAACTCGACCGGGGTCCAGCCACTGCAGAGCAGTCATATGGCAGTGCCTCAGATGAAAAACAAACACTGTGCAGGCTGATCCACCAGGACTCACCAGATCATGGTCTGAGAAGTCACCCATCAGTTTGCTTCCCACCAAGTCATGCAATCTGCTAACCCCTCTCTTCATGGGTACATTTAAAAAACACTCCTGAATGAGTAGTTGTCTTGAAGTTTTGCTTTTAAATTTTGGCAAATGCTACACAGGAAATCTATTTCCACCACATTGTACTCAGTGGTTTTATAAAGTACTGGTATATGTGTTGACACCATGTTACCAAATAATGAAGACCAACAGTGCATGAGCACTGAAACATTTGACTCAGGCTTGTAGCTGGTACCAGCAAGCACCAGCTTCTTTGCTGTTCAGACAGTTTCACCAGATTTGCCAGCACTAGTTTCTTTGTGAAAGAGGATCTGAATTACTAGATGACTATACAACTGCATTTGCGAAGAGACAACAGGAGTTACATAGAGCATGAAAAGCACGTTTACAAGTTTATTAGGCCAAAAAGAAGTGCAAGAGAAGTTCTCTTGCTTAAAATTTGAAACATATGAGGGGCCATGGGAAAAATATTCTAGACTCTAAACCTCTCTTTTTACCCAGATGCACACAGAAAAAGAGGTAAAGAGAAAAAAAATAAGGAAAGAAAAGATAAAGCATGACAATACATAATCAGATATGCCATTGATTTATGCTGAAGCTCTAGAATATAAAACGTCTGTATTCTGCACAGCTTTATCACATGCAGGCACTGGGAACTTGTGGAACAGTTTTCAGGCTAAAATCATGCAGTTTGCTGCATGTTTGAGCCATTACACACTCCACATCGCCTGAAACCCCTTCTGGGTCTAGAGATTTAGAGCAAGAGTAGTTTAAATCCACCAAACTGTTGCAGATATACTTCAAGATGCAATCAAATACAGCATCTGGGCAGCTACATCGCACTCATGCTGTGTCGTGTTTACACAGCACATCATAAACTACAAAACTGGCAAGCTCTGGGTCACACCTGCTCAGAAGAAAGTCTGCAAAGGGCACAGCATCCTCTTTCTACTTCGGAAAGGACACATTTGTAAGCTCCCTAGTCAGTGCCGTACAATTACATCAGCTCCTGCCGTTTTTCCTGTCAAAGAAGTACAAACCAGATGAGCAGCTCCACATGAATGTGATCTGGGGACAAATTAGGTGAAAGTTGGCTCCCCAGCGAATATACCTGCCTATACGCTAGAATCTTCTAGTTTTGTTTTTTTCTTAAATTTCTGCCAGTGAAGTAGGAGAGCTGTCTCCTTGAAGACTAGACAGCAAGGTTACACTGCAGATTTGCTCACTTGTTTCTCTCCCAAACTACTGCTTTCACTTCAATAATGTTTTATGCAAATTTTCTTTATTTAAATTGATTTATCACTGCTAAGAAAAATGCTGCTAAAGCTAGCCAAGGACTTGAATCTATCACAGTCATACTGTAATCCTTGACTAAAGTTCTCAATGCCAAAAGGACAGAAAGTTATAAGCTGTCACATTCTGATCACCCAAGTCAAGCAGGCAAAGGTATACTGAATAATAAGTGAGGCAGGAAGAAGTGAACACCTTTTAAATAGATCACTACCTGGGTATTCAAATTGCTAATGAGAACAATACCACCACTTCGAAGTAGGAATCCAACTAAAAATACACTCAGGAGCCCAAACAAATTTACTAAATCCCAACTGATGCAAAAACTTTATGATCAGGGATCCTTTCAACAGGATAAAGCAGGCAGAATCATTCAATGAATGTAAATCTCTGATCCCAAAAAACCCACAGCCTCCAGGTAAATATCACATATAGCTGAGTTTGCATGCTCTGTATAATCATGGTATACACACAACAAGGAATCTGTATGAATAACTCCTCACACCAGAATAAATTCTGCCATACAGGACTGTGACCTATTTCTCCTGGACAATTTTGCAGGTGGCTGTTTTAGCTGCAGTAAACAGGCATAGTCACACTGAAAACAATTTCAGTTTTCCTACTAAAATACAGGAGGTATCTACTGAAGAAGAGATGGGAGAGGAAAATGGGGGCTCAAAGGATTACACAAGTTTGAAGTTGTCCATAGATAAGTCATGAATACAACTTTTTGAAAGAAGAAAACTCTTGAGTCTCATATATGTATGTGTATATATATATATATTTAAATGAGATGTGACCCAAGCCACCTTCTGAATATTTGGGGGTAGATTTCAGGAACCTCCTTGGCTTCTGATACCCACTTCTACTTTCACAACTGAAATGGCTCTTTCAAGCTACATGGTAAACTGAGAAAAAAATTAATTCCCCACCTGACCTGGAGGGATGACAGAATCCATAATATGCTAGCAGCATTTAAATCCCATTCCTGTTAAGCACCAAAACCATTTCTATAGGGAAATTGGAATCTTAAGGGTTACCTTTAATCATATACAGTATATGTGCAGAGCCCTACCTTTCGGGCAGAAAAATACCCCTCCAGCATTACATCAATTGGAAGTGTCTTGGTCAGACCACCAAAACCATAACGTCTCTTACAGGCCCTTCCCAAAAGGATCCCCATCCTATAATCACTCTTGATGCTACTTTCATGACTGTTTGTTCCCATGTATTAAAGGGATGACATAGACAGAGATGTCGTCTCCAGAGCCCAGCCTGTCGTTGGATATTCGCCAGCCCCGGTCCTTCAGCACTCCCCTGGCTCGCATCACCAGGTCCTGAGCCGCCAGCGTGTACCTGTGGAAAAGGCAGAATACAGCCAGAGTGTGTTCGCCTCTGTGAGGAGAGTGGGTTTTCACAGCCTGCCGCCTGGCAGATTTAATGTTGTGACCTACCAGGACATGTTTCCCAGTGTTTTAGAAGCAGGCAGGAAAAACACAAACCACGGCATACCCACAAAGCAACTCCTTCCAGTTCAGTGACAGCTCCTGAATAAGAATGTAAAGGTATTTGACAGACACCGCTTGACCAAAAGTTATCGGCCGTTCTGGGTGCCTGGCTTCACCACTCTTCAGAAAAATATTAAACATGCTTGCCTTAACGAATTGGCTTTCTAGGAGTAGTCTGAAAAATTGAGGACCCCAAATAACACTACTTGTTGAAAACTACACACTTGTTCACTGACACACCTGAAGGTAATCATATCTGAACTACTTCAGAGATGAACTGTAACAATGAAAGTAATTTGGAGGCAAGTAATAGAGCATGAGAAATAAAATCCAAATTACACTTTAAGCCAAGTAGACTAACTTGTCTGTTTTCCTTGACTGCAGGAATGATTTTTAAATCTCTTTTATTCTGAAACTGGAAAAGGAAACTTACATTTAATATGGCCAGATTAACAGAATCCCACAGTTCTTTCACATTTATAAGTTCAATGAAAACTGCATGAATGTGAGTTGTCAAGTGCTTAATTCAGTGAAATACCAAGGCTCATATTGCTTCAAAACTCCCAGCTTGTGCTGGGCTGAGTGGTATTGGATTTATGGGAGTTATTTTTCTGTCCTGAAAAAATACCACATGCTGCTTGGGGGCAGAAGGGTGTCAGAGTCCAAAAGTGGAGCATAGAGAGTGCCCTGTCATGTGTACTGATATGTCCTCCCTTATTGCTTTAGCTGCTGTTACTACATCAACACATCTGTGTACTCAGAAACTTCCTCTGAAAGAAATCTCATTATGGGTGAACAGCTACTGTCACATTTTACTTCATCAGTCCAACACCTGGCCAAGATGTTCTGAATTAGTTGGGTGGAGGCAAACCTTTCTATTATTAGATAATTAAAAATTAATTGAATAGTTAAAAGACTGACAAGAAAAAAAACCAGTTCAATATTGTGTCTGCATGTGTTTTATTTAAAGCATAAGTATCATCCTCCAAGATGATGCAGGACTCTGAAGCCACACAAACAGGCCTCGAGAACTAAAGCACACCTCTGTAGTTTCCAAAAACCAGGAAGGAAAAGAAGTGTCTGCATTTCAATATCTCCTTTTCTAAGGAGGATCCTTGACCTGAAATGATCTGCCCAGATCTCATCTGAGGAATGGGAAAGAACAGTAACTCCATTGATCAGAAGGTCTCTGTGTGTAAGTTTATCAGTTACCTAGGACTGTTATAACCCCAGAATTTTTCACCACAGAATGCATTATTAAGTGGTAATTTCTATCAGTAGAGAGTTTATTCAGTCTCTGGGGATGAAAGAATAAAAAATACCCAATTATGTTCTCTTTCTAGAATTTCGATGCTTTAATTCAAATTACTCCTTTGAACCAGGAATAGATATATTTGCTCTACTAGAAAGATTTCTTCAATGCAAATGAATCAACACCTGATTACTCATAAGGTTTGATGCTAAATTCAAGTAATGTTGTACAGTAGCAATGCACCCCTGTTACTAATGGTACCAAGTGATAAAATTTCCAGCCTTCACTAGTTTTGACAAATGATTTACTTTTAGCCATAAGAGAACAGCCTAAAGACACAAAATCCAACATGCTTGCACATACACACGCACACTGTCTGTATGTTCCAAGATTAGTCTGTACCAACAACCTTGAGCTGTAATAGCAAGATAACAAGAAGCACTGGCCTTACTGCCCTAATGCAACATCAAATCCTTTTTTCTAATGGGGTAAAACCAAACACACATACTTGTACTCCTCAGTTCCCAAATCAGATGCAGGGCTAAGGAACAAAAGGACTCCATGTGGCAAGCAAGAAAGTGAAATATTTATTCATAGCATGTCTGATTCTGAGTGAATTTTGGCAAGAACATACTTCCCAAGGATTTTTCAGCTATTGTCACAACTTAAGAGAGAAACACCCATCATTCTGCAAGAAAACTTTGCTTTCCTGCTTTTTCTAATTAAGAAGGGCTCCCCACATCTGAAAAGTACAAAGGAATGAGTATTGCTTTTGACTGTGTTAGGGTTTTGCTGCTGAGTGTTTGGAAAGGGCAAGATAAAAAAAAGGAATTTTAATAAACCAGAAATTCTCTCATAGGCAGACTGTGAAATACTGAAGAAAACCAACACAATGAAGCAAAGGAAAAGGAACAGGTGAAGGCAGCAGTGAAGTAACATATTCCTCTCCTGTGTAGAGCTGAATTGAAGCAATGGTGTTCAACTTGGCACTAGAGAAGATAGGGTGAGTGTCTTGTACCTGGAGATGAATAGGAGCAGCAGTCCATTATTGAATGTTTTATTCTCCAGTGCTGTGAAATTGGGATTCAGCTCTAGAGACAGCATTAGAGAACTGCTGAAGTAGTTTTAAAGTATCCACTTCCTCCTAATGAATAGCCTTGCTGGAATACAACTTTTGTGTTTTAAGAATAAATATGTGGGGGTTTTTTCTTCTGCTGGAGCTTTCTGTATTGATCAGTGAAAGTACTGCAGGAGAAATGGTGACGGGGGTAATTGTGCTGCTGTCTGAGGAGCTTATCTTCTCACACCCAGCAGAGGTGGAGGAGCTCCCCAGCATCCTCCTAAATCTCTAGATAGTGTGAGAGAGAAAGTGAGAGGGAATAAGAAAGGACAAGAGGAAGCATGAGAAATAGAAGGTTCCCAAGGTCAGGGGGTAAACCTGCATAAGTGCAACTGAAGGAAAAGGGCAGAGTCATGCTTTTCCCTCTTCATACCTCTTCAGAGAGCTGATGTATGGAAAGCAGCAGTGTGTCACTACCACCTATTCTTCACTCAGAGTCCCCTTAATGCTCATCTGCCACAATACCCATAAGAAATCAGCTATCTAAGAAATCCAGCTCCACCCCAGCCTCTTCACTCCATCACAGTAGTCACCCAGGAACTGTTCTTTAAACAAGTCTGTGCCTATCATTCACTGAGGCTCCAAATCCCCTGAGGTTGTGTCTGCATGGCTGGATGAAGACAGTCCCGAGGACTTTGCTTTCCCTGCACTTGGAGATGTCCAGGCATATGCTATGTTTGACAGGATTCAGAGATGTTTTTTATGTGGGCAACAAATGCTCTCAGTAAATACTGGCAGGAGAGAGTCCCAAGAGCATTGCCGAGGGCTGCAAGCTCTTACCCATGAGGCTATAAAGTAAATTTTAATCCAAATGGGAGGACTATTGCTCCCACAAGGAACTAATTATGTAACAGATAAGTACTCTGCAGCTCTAAAATCCTGTCTTTTTTTTGTTTGTTTATTTGTTTTTCCTTGTTAATATGCTGCTGTCAGGGAGTAAGTAGGCTATTGGGTCAGGAGGATCCAGGATCTGCTCCGCAGGTTGGTTCTCTGGAAGACCACAGCATTACCAAACCCAGAGTGCAAGTCTCTTACATTCTGACAAGTTTTCTACATCCCTAGAGATATTACATTTCCAGTTGATCACCTCACCACAGACTATGTCACTACCCCCATCACAGAACCTGACATTTTCTAGGATAACATTTCCTTTAAACATAACACTGATAATACAGCAAACAAGATTTTCCTGTCACTGACTAGTGAGAGGAATGAACACAGGTCCACAGTCTGACCTGCTATGCTATTGTAAGTTCATTAGTTATACCTCATTTAGACCACTGTGAAGTAATTACATAAAACCTCTCACATAATACTTTAAAACCTTTAAATATTCTTTACAACCAAGCAGCAAGAGCAATTCCACAAAGGTAATTTTCATAAATATCATTGTAAACTATATGAGGGACTGCTGCAATTACCTTTTGCATGCTGGCATGAGAAATGTCTTGTCCCTGCTATTTGTAAGCCTCTAAATGACCTAGCACAAAGTTGCTTAAAAGAACAAATTGATTTTCAATTCAGATGTCCATTCATAGACCAGCAGGTCAAATACCAATAAACGTGTTTGTTCTAAGTTATAAACAGCAGACTCAGTTCTGGAATGAGTGGTACTCACGTTGCCACAAACAGCAACTAATTCCCCACAATTACTAGAGCTAAACCGGTACAAGCAAATCTAAATGAAACAAAGAAAATCTCATTTCCCTTTAGTGTTTCTGATTGCTGAGTGTTCTATAATGGATGAAAAAACTACTCACCTAATAAGTAAAAAAGATCAAACAAAGAATTCCCCTTCCTGCTGCAGCAAACATGGTGGCCATCACCAGCTCAGTAAAGACCAAAAGGAACTAGACAGACCCAACACACCCTGACTGCATTCACAACAGACAAGACCGGTGAGGATGGTAGGCAGGAACAACTTTGCCCAAACATGGATGAGAAACGGAGACAGAGCAGGGTAGAGGTATTGCATTTTACCGGGTGCCTTTGGAAGAAGAGACTCAGGGGTGCAGGAATGAGAGCAGAAGCCCCTTGCATCTCTGAATGGTGTCAGGGCATAACTGAAAGTAGATTGGATGGGTCATCTCCTCCTACCTTAAATTAACGGCATGTCTGCATAGCATAGTACCAGATGCCCTGGAAGTGCCCCTCCCTAATTCTGCCTGATCTCCTCCCAGAGAGAGGGCAGACACACCTACATGTTTTGCTGAAGCAGAGACAGTCCTGGCTGTCTTTCATACCACATCTCATCTTTGGCGCAAGGAGGTGGGCAATGTCAAAATATTGCAGTTGCAGCTTCATGTTAATCATTCCTTCTCCTGATGATTGCAACAAAACCTCTTTTTGCATTCCATGTTTGTAAGCGTCAGGTTGAGAAGATACTATTGTTGAGCTGTTGCAAAGCTGCTCTCACTTTAAAACCCAAGTGTCTGTCAGGGTGTCCATACAAACTCATCTTCCTTGTTTGCTGACAGAGAATGGGGCTGACCCTGTGAAGATGATGACTTAAAAATATGAGAAACACCAAGCATTTTGAGATGGCTCTCGAAGGGTTATTTCTGAAACTCTGCTTTCCACAGACCAACTGGGGATATGTAAAATCTCTTTTCACCCTCTTAGCCCAGGGTGAAGCAGAAGACAGCGGTAGACAGGCGTGAATTCAGGCGCAACACAAACTTCCCTTCCTGAACAGTCTCTAGGGAAGGATAAAGCTCTTCCCACTTTCACAGTCCTCCTGTTTACAAGCAAGAGACTTCTGATCTCTAGCATAATATTTTAAATCATAGTGACATGGAACTCAGTAGCAGGTAGACCTGTGGACTCACTCAAGGCAGACAGCCTCTAGATAGTTGTTTGGGAACTTGTTTGCGTGGTGGTATGTTTTAAAGACAGAAACATATAATTTAAGAGGTGATAAAGACAGGAAAATGAAAAGAATGAGGAAGAATAAAATTGTGAAATGAAACAGAATCCAATTAAATGGAGTCAGACTTTCCGCCTCTTCCATCACCACACCTGTCCTGGTAGCACTAGTCATTCCCTGCTGAAGGTGGGTCTCAGGGTTATACTATGAGCAGGAATGAGTAGGAACTCCACTATGCAGTATTTATACATACATACACGCAGAGCGACAGAGAGACAGATGCTCAGTATGTCCTACTGAGAAACAGTCTTTAGTGTTAAGGGACTGTCCAGAGGAGAGTTAAGTGGAAACCTGTGACTGCTCTAAACAGACTTGTTTCCATATATCTTCTAAGACTTCAGTCTCCTACAGTTTTCACAGGACCTCATACAGCCAACGAAGTGGATCCTATGCCAAGATTCTGTAATCCCACACCTATTCCTTTGAAGGCTGCCAATTTTGAGTTATAACAGACCCTCGCCCCAAATGCCCATGTTTGTTTTAGAGGCTCCATCCAACTTATTAAAATGTTTTCTTAAAAGTGTTGCATATTTCCTGAATGTTATTCATATCATACTTTCTACGAAAATATGTTACCAGAAAGTGCTCTTCTATGGAGAAGCTAGAAAATCAGGAATGAGCACGAACCTGTGGGGATCATCGGGGTCACAGTTTGGTAGAAAGTTAGTGACAGCTTCTGCCACTTCTTCATTTAACAGCACATCCCAGAGTCCATCAGTAGCTAGGATGAGAACATCATCTGGCCCATGCTCATACTGCAGGAGGTCATAGACTCTCACCTAAAACACAAAAATCCAAGAGATTCATGAAGGAGGAGATTGTCAGATCTGTTTGCAAAACATTGCTGAGCTTGGCTATGAGTTTAGCACGTTTGGCCAAGGCACTGAAATACCTCCCAAGGCACTAATGGAGTCTGTCTGCAATTTAGCCCCCAACATGGCAACCCTTCCTGCTGCAGCTCAGCATGGCTCAGGTGCTAACCCCAGCCAGGATGGATGCAAGCATTCCTAAGCCAGGCTCTAAAGTACAGTGCTGCTGTTGCTGCCAGAAGGGCTTGAAGCCTCCCCCACCCAGCTGCCTGGTTTCAGTGCGTGAGGCTCTTCCCTATCATTGGCAGCACTAGTCATATGGAAGCTGAATAATTTATTTGATGAATTTTTGATATTTTCTAATAAAATATTCACAAATAATTGTTTTCACTATTTGTCTAGATCCATTTAACCCTGCCAGATAAACTGCATGTTTGGAAATGTCTGTGTGGCACCAGGCATTGCATTCACTTTTCTAAAGTGAATTCACTGAGGCACCTGCTGCACTAAAGTGTCGTGCCTGAGCAAGCGAGTGGTTCCATGAAATGGACAAAAACTGTTTACCTGCTCAGTCACATGTATCTGTAAACAGTTCAGTAGCTAAAGACTGATTCAAGATCTGCACAAAAGTGAAGCTTATTCACACTATTAAATTGTCCACTGACTTCAACTTGTCTGTCTGCAGCTCCAGTCAGGGTGATCACTGCTGGCATCTCTGTAACACCCTGCCTTTAAAACAACTTCAACCATCCTCCTCCCAGAGAGGCTGGGGAAAGCTGGGAGTGGAGGGGGCAGTCACAGGGGTGCTGCAAGGCCATCAGCTGAGCCAGAATACAAGCAAAGGCCATGGAAAGTGTTTTAAAACAAGTCTTTAGTTTGGTGTAACTCCCCTTCCAGCGCCTGCTGTGCTCCAGCTGACAAACCGCCTCCAATTCCCAGGCTGTGATGGGGAGCCATCACCAAGCACTCACGGAGCACTTTAATTACACCAGCAACAATCACAGATCATAAGAATTGTAACAACCTTGGCAAGGCACACAGGAGGAAAGGATCGTCTGTACTGAAGTTTGGAAGTGGCGCACCTTGTCACGCACCCTGCTCCAGTCTTGGACTCCACAAACAGCTGTGGCAATTGGGAAATTTGTAAGTCCAAGCACTTGGCATAACTAGAAAATATGAGCTGTTTTATTCTCTCTCATGGTGCCCTCTCCCCTTAGGAGCCACGGAACAGGCAATACACAAAAAATGCCTGGATCTTTTAATGTAATTATGCTTTTATGGGACTGCAACAAGTACTAGAGGAAAAAAAAAAAAATATAAAATCACCAAGACCTGGCTGCTAATACTTACCAGTTCGCCTTTCACTCAAAAGCACAAGAAGGTCATTTGTTAAATATGACCTTCACTATCTAAGGTAGCAGCTGAATAAGGCCTTTGGAGAGGATTAAATTCAAGGCAAGATACTCTCTTTATTAGAGCATATCTCCTTATTCAGACTGAGTGGTAATATAGAACAGATCCCTATAAGCAGCACAGCTCTCATCTCGAGCTCAGTGCATGGAAATCTGTAGCTGTCATAGCCTCCATTCCCAGAATTTAGTTCAGCCTCTTAACAGCCCACAGTTTCAACTTGGAAATCACTGGGGTGTGGAGGGTAAGTGGGCCAACACAACCATCAAATCAATATGCAGCACACATTCTGGTAAGATCCCTTGGGGACTAGAAACTATTTGAGAAAGCATTAGGGTTAATGCTCAGGAATGCACTCAGCACCAAGCCCCTCAGAGGGCTAACCAAGCTTGGAACGCCAGTGCTGGGAAAAACATATCTGCCATGGCTCTCCAACCAAGGCAAAGGTGTGAAACTAAAGCCATGCATCACTGATTTGAATCCTCCTGAAATGAACAATCTTGTCTGACTGGAGAGCAGCACTGGGGCAGATAAGAAACTTGTCAAAGCTACCTGCAGCCAATCCACAGGTCGAAAGGTAAGAGCAATACTAAGAACATGTTTTGTTTTGTGGGAAAAGGAAAAAAAATGCAATCACTGATTTACTGGGTAATCTGGGAACAGATTTATTGGGTAATCTGTCCTAGAAGGACAAGCTCTGTGAACCGAGCATCTCCAGAAAGGCACGCATTGAGAAGGAACTAGACATCAGAAGTGGTGCAGGGAACAGTGGGATGAGCAATAAGGGATGTTAGGCTGGTCTCTAGGCTAAGGAAAAGAGAATGCCAAGGTTACAAGAGACAAGCTTGGGGCAACTTCAGGTAAGATTCTTGTATACAAGGGACCAGTTGGACATGCAAAAAAATGTTTACTGAAATGCAGATTTGTCTGTCTTCTAATTACCTTAAGTCCTTTCCTTGGATTTCTAAAATACAGCTGTAGGTGCCCCCAGTATGGTACTAACAAAAGGAGATAGAGCTGTCCAGTCTATTGCAGGTACAGGTTATGTTCGCAGACCACCTTGCCCAGGCACAGAAAGTAGCCAGCTCCTAACCCTTTATTTTTCTGCAAGGAGCTTTGTTCTAGTTCTTACTTGGGTCAGTGAGGGTTTCTTACAGTAGTGATATGTACCTTCTGCTGGACATGGATCAGTGTGACAGCAGAGCTCTTGTAAGCACATAGGTTGGGCAGCACCACCAAGGCATGTGGAGTGGAAGCTCAGACCAGCAGGGCTCAGTGAACACCCCCTCCACACACATCCCACAGCTCATTGACTGCAATGGAAACAATGATTTTATTTTCTAAAATTCTAGAGTCAGCCTTCCCCATGACTGCCTCCCTCCTGTAGCCGTATTTCAGGGTGTAAACAGTGAGGTTTAAGCCATGTTCTGTCTGTGACACAAGTTTGCACAAAGCTGCACACACTGCAAAACAGCACTGAATAGCCCCATTTGTGCAGGTGACAATTGGACAGACAACGACTGGCAGTGCAAAGGTTTTCTTGACTAAGGCTACACCCTTGACAAATTTTCTAACAATGCCATCCTGAATCTTCAGTCTTTCCCTCATGAATCACTGCTTCTGCAGCCAGACATCGATCCTGATAGTAGCCCACTGAACTTGTGTCCTCTGTCCCAAATGCCTTGGGCTACCTGTGCATTGTCCTCTGCCTCCCATGCTGCCCTGAGAGCCTTCTCAGCAACTCCGTCCAGCCTAACAGCTCCTTCTGTGTTGCCCTGGTAAAGCTTCTCACTCTTTAACTTAATCTCTCTGGAGGATCAGGGCAGTCCTCAAAGGAGTCCAGTTTAGTCACCATACTTCTACTATCCACTGATGTCTTACTTATGTAAAGCAGCTGACCTGTTAACTAGCTAAACTTGACATTTGTAACCAGAAAATGTAAAAAGCCAGGTATAAGGAAGAAACAGCAGAACCTCAGCAGCAGAGGCAACCATGAATACAAGCACTGGGTTACCTTTATATCCTATATATAGGACAATACTAGTTAACCTGACTAGTTAACTGATAGGTTAACAGTGGATACACACCACTGGAGCACGTGGTCACACACATCTTTCTGAATGTGCATTATGCAGTTTGTCACGTAATGTCTTTCTTCAATCCAGGTATTTGTTTCTCATATTACTCACCTACATGCAGTCAAGAGCGTTGAGAAAACCGCTCTGTGCAAGCAATGAACAAATAGGTGGGCTGGTTTTATATTTACATTTACAAACGGATCTACCCACTGGATAAAACCTGCCTTTGGCTGCTGAAAGGGACCATGGCAGCTCTGGAAAGGTGCTGGGGTTCGTTTGCCAGGTTTGCTTTTAAGAGTCCCTGCAGCTCAAAAACCGTTCACAACAGTGACAAGAGAGCCTGCAGCCACCTGAGGTGCCAGCCTCAGGGGAATTTGAGCCTGCATTCACTCGCCTGCACTATTGATCAACTTGGCTACTTCAATAAATTAAGCCCTTACTTAATTGTATCATCCCTTTTTATGCACAGTGTTATCCAGTGTAGCTTTGCTGGCAAACGACAAGATCTTTCAATACCACCCTCCAAGTAATTTATATGTAAATAATAAAAAGCGGGTCCCAACACTGCTCCCTGCAGCACTCACCAATTAATCTCCTTTTAGCTTTTTACTGCCACCCTTTGTTTCCTGCCCTTTAGCCAATTTCCAGTAGACTGTGCCAACTTTCCACTTAGTCTGTAGCTTCATATCTTTTATATTAATAACCTGTGATGCAGAGCAGTTTCACAGATGTTTTCTGAGAAATCAAAGTGCTCCTGCAAGAGCATCTACTGCATTTATTATTCTTTTTTTAATTCTCTTGTAGACATAACCTGAAGGACCTCCAGTCACTAAAGTATGATGTTTGCTTCCTGAAACCGCCTTGACTCCCTTTGATCATACTGTATTCTCTGTGTACTTACCTTATTTGTTCCTTTCAATGGTGTAGTTCCTAAAGATTTCTCCAGAAGGCAGATGTGAAACTAAAACAGTCTCCTTGAACATATTTGTAGAGTTGTCAGAAAGATTTTATTAACATAATGGAACAAGAAAAATTCTCCTTCATTACCTTCTTATCATTTGCTGTGGTGGCTGGCTTCGGGTTCATCGCTGGCAAGGACCAAATGCTTACATCAGAGCCACATCTCTCCTCACCAAATGGCTGAGCTCCCATTCAAAAAATTTTAAGATAAAATTCTGCTTTTCAGCTGCAACAAGGTAGCTCTTACTAAGTTTTGA